TTGAAAACAAAAGGAAAATTTAAGTGAATTGTCTTAAGTTTTATAAAGTTTGAAAAATAAACCTATCAGCAAAAGTCTGTTCTCTAGCTGTGAGGCAACTTCGTGTAGAATCAGAGCGCCCTCTAGTGGGAGAGGTGCAAAATCAGAGAAGTATTTGAAAGTTACAGCCGAAGACTCTTTTTCTTATGACCATATGGCTAATACATCTTGTGATTAATAATTTACAGATTAAGACATTATAATTGTTAAGGTTTTGATTTAAAAGACATCCACATGATTATCCACATATCACAAAGTCACTGTGAAGCAAGAAAAGTTCCACATGCTCCTAAAACTCCATTTACCTGGTGGAGAAACCGAGTCCAGTGTGTATGGGAGGGCTTCTCACACTTGCTCTCACCAGACGCTCAAGTGAGAGCAGCACCACCTGAGTCCTGTCCAGTTGCTGCTCTTCAAGTCCTCCTCCCAGGTGCGTCCCTGCGACACAGGTGGCTGCTCCAATAGGCAAAACCCTCACAGAATTATTTAAACTTGATGTTTTATGACAGGTTTTTATGGGGGCTGGAAATGAGTTTCTGTAGTAATGAAATAAACCTGAGCTGTTTGGGTTTTGTTGGACATTGCTTTGGGAACTACTTAAAAATCCAAGTTTCAGTAGAGTGAGGGTGATGGAAGGGCTCTTTTAATTTTTTCCCCCCCCAAAATACTTTTTTTTTTTTATTTCAGAGAGAGGAAGGGAGAGGGAGAGAGTTAGAAACATCAATGCTGAGAGAGAATCATTGATGGGTCTCCTGCACAACCTCCACTGGGGGTGAAGCCCTCAACCCAGACATGTGCCCTGACTGGGTATGGAACCATGACCTCCTAGTTCATGGGTCAACACTCAACCACTGAGCCACACCAGCCAGGCTCTTGATAGTTTTTTGCTAGTTTGAACTAGAACTTTGCTATTCCTGTCAGATAAGCTGAGATGTGTGTAAGGCAAAAGGCAGGACAGTGGTTTAAGTATCACTGAGGTCAAGGTTTTGCATAGGACATGCTGTAAAATAGGCTGCTTCTAGATCCCTTCCACTGTGTCACTTCCAGGTAGCTTTTTTAGGGAACCACACAACATAATAGCTGTTTCTAGTGCCTTGGCATCAAGCAGCTCCTATGTAACAGAAAAATCAGACCTGGGTAATCTCGAGAAATTGAGTTCCTTTATTATCTATAAAGTGATGGCAATGATATCTATCTATAAATATTTGTGTTAATGGGTATTTAGCACATAAGAGCTACTCGATAACATTGTTTCATCAACTGGCACAGCTGTGTGAGATGGCAAAACTCCCCTATTCACTCTGCTCCCAAAATAGCAATGACTATCTATGTGCCCAAGTAATTAGCCACAGGTGGACGTCCTCAAAAGAAGGAAAATTTCCTTCTTCATTCCTCTCTCTCTCTCTCTCTCTCTCTCTCTCTCCCCTCTCCCTCTCCCTCTCCCTCTCTCTTCTCTTTCCATATATATCTCTCCATATGTATGTATATAATTTCTTATATATTTTTTATATTAACACTTTAGGTGAATCAACATTTTTAAAAGGATAAGCATTTAAATTATTAACCAGTCTTCTAATTACAAAACAATTTTTCCCTTGTTCTCAGTTTTTGTTCTTACAAAGTGCCTGGTGATTAGTCATTACTCGGTAGTGAATGCATGAGCAACAGTGTCCAAAGTCATGCCCTATATATTTATTGGAATCAACTAGTCTTTCTTGATGATCCACAATCACCTTTCTGAGTGTCACTACTAGAAATGTGGTAAAGCAGAATTTTCAGAACATTCAACAAGAGAATTTTTAAAATTATATAACCCCTAGGCATTCCATTCCAGGATAGGGCTCTGCTTCTCCATTGTTATACCTGTCTGTGAACAAGACTGTTCCCAGAGAGCTGTAGAACCTGTTGTGCCAAGATCCAAAGTTTCTCATTCACAAGGCTTCATTTTACTCCATGAAATTTCCACGGCATCTCTGAATGTTCCCATAGGCTTGCTAAAGGGGTTACTCCTTTCATTCAAGGCTTTTACAGTTTTTAAATCTTGGGATGAATAGATATAGTTGGAAATAGACTGGAATATGAGACCTGGCTGATAGTTTCAGAATATCCTCTATAATCATATTATCTATTTCATCTGCCAGGCAATTTATGGCCTTTTGAGAGAGAATCATTGAAGAAAAGAAAAGGAATAAAAACACACCACAACTCTGGTAGCAGTTAATTCAATGATTAAATGGAAACTGTATGTTTAAATTGCAGTTTGAATAGGAAATTAAATTATGCAAAAAAGTGTTATAGATTCAGACAAATTTTATACTGTTAATAAATCTATGCATAATTCATTTTCTTGTAGGCTGTGACAAAATAGCATAAATAACTTCATCTGTAAGGCTGTGAATTTTGCTGTTCTTAATTGGGTGATGGCTAAAACTATTTAAATACTTTTGAATGACTGAATATATAAATGTTTAAAATGAGCAGTTATAATAGGTTTCCAGGCAGATTTGTTTATTTAATATTGCTACATTTATTTTTAGATACTAGCATAGTACAAATATTGCATAAAGATTGCACCCAATATGTGTGTTTGATAGGATTTTAAGAAAAATATATGATCTCTTTGCTCTTATAGAAAGCACTCTGATGCTCATTAAATGAATACTATGTCAGGCACAGTACCAGTTACTTTATAAACTGGACCACTTCATTCTTATTATAGACCTAAAAGCAGGTACATTAACCCCATTTAACTGATGAGGAGACAGGCCAAACAAGGGAGGAACTAGCCCAAGTTCACATAGGTGATCACTGGCAGAGCAGTGGCTCTGAGCCAGGTATTTTGGGTTTCTAAAACTTACATTTTTTTTCCCCATTACCTGCAGCTTCACACTCTACACACTCAGGTAAGTTTAGCACCTGAGCATCTGAGAGTCAAGGCTGTCTTGTTAGGAGGGAGTCTCTTGCTGTAGCAATGGCCACGCAGTAGCTGAGATCAGCACAGCTGTCCCTTGAGCACTCACAGTAACCACCACTGTAGTGGCTATTACGTGGCTCCACAGGAGCCATACTTGGGCCAGTGACAGGAGCCACTGAAACTCAACCCCACGTTTCTGCTGAGGAGCCCACTTTGCAGATGCAAGGTCTTCATTTCCAGAAGTATTCGGGGACTAGAGGCAATCACTGGAGGTGTGATCGTGGGTGCTGCCTTTCAGAAATGTGGATGTGTGGTCTTGAACTGCTGGGGTCTATGTTGCACTGGATTTGCAATTCATAGAGACCATTGCAGTCACCAACAGATGAGTAAATATTGGAGATTTCTACAAGCGCAGTGTATGTCTCTTCAAATGACTATCTCTATACATTCACAGTGACAACTAGTTAAGAAGGTATTTCTTTGACTTTGTTCTTGGGATCCTCTAGTCTGCTGTTGGATCTCTGTATATTATTCTTTATTTCAGTCAGTGTATGCTTAATTTCTAATTGGTCCTTTTTCATATCCTTGAGGGTCTCACTATATTTCTCGGAGGTTTCTAGAAGA